GCCGAGATCTTGCAGGGAGCGAGTCCCAACTGGGAGCCCAACACCCGGACACGCTCATCTCGGTTAACAACTTGGCCAACCTCTTGCAGAAGCAGGGCAAGTTGGAGGAGGCCGGGCCGAGGTCTTTGGGGTGCAGAGAGGTGGCCTTCCTGGCATTGCCGAGAGGAAGGCATTTCTCATGTGGCCAGGACGAGACGGGTGAGTCTTCTTTTCCCAATTTCACCGGAGCAATTTGGGATGTGAATTGATGCCTAGGCTGATGTACGGACAGATTTTGATTTGAGTTTGATGGGGAAGCATTTCTTGCCAGGGGGAACCGCTTGAAATTGAGTGTTGGACAGCATTGCTGTTGGTGAATTTATTGTGAAATTATTGGGTTAACCACCAAAGACACGGGCCAAGCAAGTCAGAAGGCCTTGACTATTTGACTATCTTAAGTGGAGGCAAGTATCGTAGTTTTTCGTGGCACCTCGTTCTGAATTCAAAGAGTGCTTGACGAGCGCTTGGAATAGTATGTTCTCATATGTTCTCACTTAGTCTATAGTCCAAAAATGGTGGCCTTTGTTGGCTTATTCTTCCCTTTCCATGACCCATGGGGCCTGAGCTGGAGTTCCCCATGTTTCATCACCTCAGTGCTCCACCTCGAGCCGCGAGGCGGAAGGGCTGCACCGCCGAGCCTTGGAAGGCCACGAGTCCCAACTGGGACCCCAACACCCCGGCACGCTCGTCTCTGTGAGCGGCTTGGCCCTTGTCTTGGAGAAGCAGGGCAAGTTGGAGGAGGCCGGGCTGAGGTCGTTGGGGCTTGGGGCACGCAGAGGTTGCGGAAGTGTCGAGGGGAAGGCAGTTCTCGAGTGGCCAGGACAAGGGACTGGTGAGTTTCTTGTTTCCAAGTTTCACCGGAGCAATTTAAAAGTTCTGTTTATGAGAAGTTTGATTTTGCATGTGGGACTCGTCTTGGTAAGTTTACTTTGAAATTTAATGTCCGACAGCATTGTCGCCGGAGAATTTGATGAAATGACCCCACAAGACGTGGGCCAAGCAAGCGGGACGTGCCAGAGTCGCAAAGTCACGAAACCTGTTTCTCCGGAATCCAAGCTTCGGCTGTAGGTACCAGATTGGCCTTAACTTGCATTTTGTGAAAGGGGTAGATCAACATTGTTTTGCAAGAAGTGGCTTTGCATATAGAGCTTTGGCTGATGCATCGATCATGTGTGCCAGATTCACGCAATACAAGAAAAGCCTTCACCCTGGCTTCGTGGTTCCCACCATCCTATCCTATGCAGATTAGATTCTCAGATATGCAGGTTTTGGTGTTTGAACAATCAATGTGCCACACTGCATCACCAACACATTGCCTCTCACCAGTTGCGGATCACAGCACAAGGCCCATCTCGCCACGGCATAGGAAGCCACCCTGCTGTCATCCACAACCCACCCTGCAGGCAGAGGGCCTTTATCGCAGGGCCCTGACTGGGCGAGAAGGTCAGCTGGGCCCCGTGCATCCGAGCACCCTCAGCTCCGTCTGGAATCTGGCAGAGCTTCTGGAGGCCAAAGGTTCCTTTGCAGAGGCGAGGGGAATCTCGGTCGGCTGGTGTTGCTGTTTGGGGCGGCTCTGCTAGGGGATGTGGATGTGGGAAGTTGAGTAAAGGGTAAATAAACAGTGATGTCCTGCTGAAACGAGCAGATCTTGTTGGTCCTGGCAAGAGTCTTGGTGAAAGACATGTTCTTTGAAGCTTTCAGGTTAAGTTTTTGTGGCATGTGGAGTACATTTAATTTTACTTTACAGTACTTTGATTCCTTGGTTTCCAAATGTTTCATAACCAAAACTTAGCTGTTTCGAGTTCCCAGACATGGAACAGTGGAACCCGCCACCCCGGGTCCCCCAGTGGTCACCCACCATGTGCACCGCATCACGTCCAGGCGGAGCAGCTCTACCTCCGCGAGCTACGTGGCATGGAGGCTTCTGCAAGGGTCAGAAGGGAACAGTCGATAGCCACTTGGTGGCCTTGGGCCTAGACTCTAGACATGGCCACATCAGTCCAGCTGTCGACTTTGGAGTCCCAGGCTCATGTCGGTAAAACAGTGTCAAGATGTGTCAAGGCTCCTTTAGTTGAATTCCATCAAAGACTCAAAGACACAGCATGCTCAAAACAATTTCATTTATTTTGCAAGAAACGTGATCCATCATTTTCCCACTTGCTCCTTTTTCGTGCATTTGGTGCCGCGTTCGGTGTTCCAATTTCAGGTTTTCTGCCAATGTGGCTGATCTGCAAAGCTTTCAACCGCCTCTGCAGGAGCTGCACGGGCCGGATGCCGAAGAGACCCGAGCGAGTCGCAACAACCTGGAGCGATTCCAACTGCTGCAAGGAGAAGCTGGGAATCTCTACAGTACCGGTACACAGTTTCTAAGTGGCGGTCTTTTTGAATCTCTAAAAGTTCTGCATTGGAGTTTTTGTTCAGAAGTTTGAGCGATAGAAAATTATGAGGTTCTGCTCGTGTTCTTGCACTTGGGTTTAGCACCAGACACCTCCATGTTCTCCCCTCGTTATAGTAACAGTTGTTCATACCAACACGCTGAGTTGGTTTTGTCTCTTGGGCTCCGCACTGTGCTGCCAGCGGGATTTGCGTTTGATGTATTCCATTCCGCCCCGCTGACTTGCAGGCCTATATGCACTTATATCAGAATGAGCATGAGGCCTGTTTGACATCAAGCCAAAAGCAGCTATGATCACATCTATCAATTATCTATGTATCCTGTTCCTGTTTCACCATGTTTCACCCGCATTCAGAGGGCCCACGATCGTTCCACCGAATTGAAGAAGAGCCCTGGGTGAAAAGAAGACCTGTGCTGAACGGACCTCAGGAAAAACATATTGGTTTTAACGGTCTAAAGACGGCAAGGCGTTTTATGTCTTTGATACCTGAACCGCTGTGTGGACTACTGTGATGCCTGGAACATCCTGGAACCCTTTGTAGCGTTTTCGGGCCTCAGGGAATCCAGTTGCGACGGATACATCTGCCGGAGACGACTTGTTTCAGGAGCCACCCTATAAACGTTGGGTAGGCGTTGGGCACAAGCACCATGACGAGGTGAACTTAAGAGTAGAGGCCATGAAGCCGATACGGCTGTGATCCAGGTAACCCTTCGGGAAGTGATATGGGTATCCAGCACAGGGTGATATGACTGTGATACGGCATTGTTGATATCCACCATGTTTGAATAATAATTGATGATCCGATGATAATTAAATCCACTGCATGTAGAATCATGTAGATAGGTACTTGATGCACTGTGGTGTGATGCTGATTTGATGATAATTACATCGAATAGTTCAGACACCTTTAGTCCCAATTCAGAAATTGCACACCACTCGTCTAGTGACACTTTTATAGCATGCAGCATGATGGTGTGTAAAGTGTTGAAAGGCATAAGACTTGGATCTTGCTCGTCGAGTGCACATTCGCTGCCGGAGCCATGTCTCGCACCCATCGATATCAACAATTCTTTGAGGCTCAGGACTCAGGTGGGGAGACGTGACATGCCGTGTCTCCCTGGTTTCTGTGGATGGTTTCACCCCATGCAGAAACACCCCTGCTGTGTTGTTCGGGAAGGATCCACTAGCTGTTTGGAGGTTTCCTAAAGTGGGTACCTCCTAATGATGAAAAATTAGACCATATTGAAACCCATGGTTTTGGGGATCCCCCAGCTTAAGAAACCTCTATCTGTTGTAAGGTCCTTGGCCACAAGCACAGGCGAAAACGACCCCGAAAACCTCCACCTTGACCAGAGACTGGGCCAGGCTCCGAGTCCGATGGCTCGGCGTGTGTGGATGCCACGGTGTCTGAGGAGACAAAGCCGACTTTCCTGGGGCTTTCGAAAAGAATTCAGCAGAGCTTTGCATTTGAAACCTCTTGTATACATTTGGTGGAAAGTATCAGACGACATGTTGATTCAAGAGAGAGAGTTTTGGCCGCCAAACCGGAGGCCATGCTTTTAGCAGTAGCTCAACTGTTTTGCTTGCCAGCATCGGATACCGGATACCTTCAAAACTGCCATAAAACGAGTGAATTTAGATGATGCTTGGTTCTCATGACAGGACGTTTTTCTGTGGTCACCGCCAGCCGAACTGATGACGTATTTCTCTTGCCAAACTTGAAGGAGAGCGAGTCTCAAAGTTGCTGCCGCTTCGCAATGTTCGCAATGACGAGCTGTCGATACCTTAGTCGAAAAAAGAGACACCTGAGATGATCTGTGAGGTCAGGCCCGCCAATACTAGCGGCATCTAGCAGCTAGCGCTTGTACCATCTTGTACCATGAAAGACTTTTTTCAGATAGGATCGAGTTTCTGCAATTTCCGTTTGATATTGCGTCCAACTCGTGGCCAAACGACCCCAAAACCTCCATCCTTGTCGGCCGGCGAGGTTATGATTCCGACGGCCCAGCGTGTGTGGATGGTGTCAGGGTCTCTGCTCAGGAGCCCGTGACCTTCCGGGATTTGGATATCTCAAGAGGTCAGCAGATTGCATTGGATAACTTTGTTGAAGCCTCGGGACATGTCAATATATTATTTATATATATTTGGCTGCGCAAAATTTGGCCAAACTGCAAGCCGCAAACTGTATCCCACGTTTGCGGCAGTAGCTCAACTGTTTCGTCTGTCAGTGTTGGGTACCTGCAAGAGGGAGGAGAAAAATAATTAATGAACTGTCAGATGGTGCTTTGGTTTTGCAGACACGCCGTTTTTCTGGGGTCACTGTTTGCCAGCCGGACTTGTGAACCGCATTTCTGCGCCCAAGCGAGGAGGAGAGCGAGTCGCGAAGTTGCCGCAGCTTCGCAATGTCGAGCTGTGGGTGCCTCAATGTTTTCCTAGCGATACTATGATGCGATATAGAATGAATTGGCCATTTGCAACTCTTGCTGTGCTACTGGCAGCTGTTTGTCTTACATAGATGGGATTTCTTCCGACATAGGAACGAAGCAGCTTTTGCCCTGGCACGAGGTGTGGCTGTGCTTCTGCTGTTCTTCTGCGCCCTCCTAGTGTCAACACTGGGATTGAATTTTGACCTGGCAATTTCTGACCTTGCTCAGGGAGACTTCCACCAAAGTCTTGTGGATCTCACTTCTGCTCTGCAGAAAATCTGGGTTGATTACTTTCTCCGTGCGCTGGAGCAACTCTTTGTACAGTTTCCATTGCTGTGTACATTTGTCTTGAGCCACTGGCCATGGGCACTTCTCGTCCTTCTGGTCCTTCTGGTGTTTTTTGGGCTTCCTCTACTTGTCGGCATGTGGGCGCCCATGAAGACCGGGTGCACCATGATTCAGGCCATGGAGACAAGTTTCACGAAATTGACCCACATGTCTGTCCATGTCGTCTTGCCAGTCGCGCTTTTCTATGGTGACTTGGTCAGTGATGCCTTGGTCATGAGCAAATTCTGGCAAGCTCAGCACTATCAATATTTCACGCTTAATGCCTTGGCTATTCTGGCTGGACTGGTGACCACAAGTGTGATAGGATCTGCAGGTATGGGCAGTGCAAGCGAGGCATTGCAGCCTATAAGGGGCTGCATGGCCGTGCTAACATTTCTGCATGTCATACCATTGTATTGCTTCTTCTTCGCATTTTGGCAATTCGCAGATGCAAAATTTGCCACATACAAGTCTGATGCCTTTGACCGCCGGCTGAGAGATAAAGGTCTCACCGCATTGATGGCTTCCTCAATCATTGGTGAGACATTTGGGGAAGCAATGCTGAGTTCGTTTGTGCAGCTGTACGCGGCACTTCGTCACGGACCACTGCAGTGGCCATCGCTCTTGGCATGTTCTGCTGCTCGGCCAAAAGCGTCATCTGGTGGAGGAGGTCAGTTAGCGAGTCCTCTTCAAGCTGCACTTATCTCATTTTCTCAGTTGTGCAATTGGTTGATGCCAAGATGGCTGAATGTCCCCCCAACTCTCCCCAAGAGATCGCAGTTTGTGTTGCAATGGACCTTTTGGAGTTGAGGAATACATGGTTTTCAGGGGAGACCGCTGTTCCGTGAGCAGTTGAATCATGTTCCAATCAAAGCTGCGACAGTCTTTCCGCATTGATTGCAGCTTTACATGTCCGAACTGCATCCAGAACGTCCAGGATTGAAAGGCCTAGATAGTTGGCCCTGTTGCCTCAGGTTCTGCTGAGTCTGATCTCACTTGGTGAGTCCTTCTCCAAGATCGATAAGTGGCCCGGCCGAAGATATCTGGATTGGAGAAACCTTTTTGTTTCCAAACTCTTCGTTTGCCTTTAGTTTTTTCTACTGGTTTTTGTCAACCTGGCTTGATCAAGGAAAGGCAGTAAAGTCATTGAAGAGTTGCTTTCACCACTTGCCCCGCAGGTTCGGTCATGTAAGTCGTTATCGACAGGGGCAGGCCGTTGTGGTCGGCTTAGCCAAGCCGCAGTCCGTGGCGTATGCCGCCCTATTGCTCTACAGATGGCTGGCGGCCGCGCCCTCAGATGAACTGAGAGGAACCTACAGGAACCGAACCGGGGCAGGCCTGGTTGTTTTAGGTCGGTTGCATTTTGTGAACCTTACTATGACCTAGCTGAACAGAGGGACATATTCAGCGATTTGGCGGAGCATGACGCCCCAAAATATGGAGCAGGGTTCCAATGAAATCCAACCCGGAAGCCTTGTGGAGATGGTTCAAGGGTACTCTGCGTCCGGTGTTTAGGGCCACCCGCGCCTTTGGTTTGTAGTGCCTTTTTTCAAGTGAACGCTTGGTGCCGCATAGGTCTGCAGCCGATTGCTACTTTTCCCGGTGTTTCAGCTGGCATTGCATGAGGACTGGCTATTTCTGCTCCTTGTTTTTGTTGATTATGAATTACGAGGGAGTTTGTGAATCAGAAATTCTTGTTCCCAGCATTCTCAACGTCCAGCTTTGACTTAGTGACGCTTCTTGGGAGGAACTTCAGCTTTGGCATGTTGCTTACGGGGGCTCCCTTCTATGGATCGCTGATTGCATTCTCCAAGCAGGTCTGGTGTTTTACTGCACCGAGAATCGCTGGAAACTCTTCTTTGCGATTCCCAATACGCTCAGCTCGTTCGAGCCACTGCTTTTGAGCGGGGAAGGTGCTTTGCTTTCTGCTTCCTGGCCTTGATTTGTTCTTTGCATGTCTCTGCCAATGGTGGAAATCATGCTACTGCTGTTTCAAAAATATGAAGACAATGTATGTGGGAATTTGGGGCATATCATTGTTACACTTGGTGAAGACGGCGAAATGACGCACGAAAAACATTCGCTATCATTCGCTGTCAAGTTCCCTGCTAAACCCAACTCTGCTGTGTGCTTCGTGCAGAGCATGTGAGAGCAGCGCATTGTACATGATTTTGCTAACACATAAAACTGAAACAGCATGTCCAGGATTCCAAGTCTCATCCGAGGTGAATGTGGAGTTGCATGCACTTCTCCATTGTGCCGAGTCGGTGGCTGCGATCTGGATGGCCAACGCATTTGGGAGTGGAGTCCCGGCATTGTGGGAAGAACACGGCTTTGCCCTCCGACTGTTCCTTGCCTCTAGTGTGATTCAATGGCCTTTACTCCTGATCCTGCGCTGCTTCTGTTCCCACCAACTTCCAAGCCATGATTTCGTGGCTGTGACGAAAATTTGCCTTTCTGAAGAAGCAGAAAGCATGTGCGACTCTTGTGACGCAAAGATCCCGTTGTATGTGGCAGCAACTGTTCCCTTCACGATGAAAAGTGTCTGTGATGTGGCAAAGTTGGTTGATCTCATGATGAAGGGCCAGGCATCGGCACAGGTGGCAGCCCAAACCTGTGACCTCATCAAGCGCCATGTCCTTCCAAAGAAGAGCTCCGAACTCCCTGCAAATGTGACGGCCGCCAGCTGTATGCAAGCTGTCTTGTGCGCCATGGATGCACACTTGTCCAGCCCGGAAGTGCAGGAACAAGCCGTGTGGTGCTTGAAGAACTTGGCGTTGAACCGACCGGAAAACGAAGAGACATTGATGACGCTGGGAGGCGCTGAGGCCATTTTGAGGGCCATGACGGAGAACTGCAGCAATGAAGCGGTGCAAAAGGAAGGCTGCGTGGCGTTGGCTAAATTGACCACGGAACACCAGAACGTCTTGAAGTTTCTGAGTCTTGGAGCAGGTGAGGCCGTTTTGAAGGCCCTGCGAAACTACACAACCAGCACTGGTGTGCAATGGTGGGCTTTTCAAGCCTTGGGAAACTTGGCGGAGACCAGCGGGGGAAGAGCCAAGTTGCGTGATCTCCTGGCTGCTGACGTCATCAACGCTGCAATGAGCAGCTGCAACTCTGAGATCCAAGAGAAAGGCCAACAGCTTCTTGAAAAGTTGGGGCAGGTTGGCCACACAGGACCATGAGTTGTGACATTGTCTTGCTGTGCAGAAGCTTCTGCAGTGTGCAAAGATAGGCGCGGGTTTTCAGGGGTTGGGTCAGGTGGTGATTTTGTGCTTTGGCTTTCATATCTTTCATGCTCACGGAACCATGGCGGAATAGTTTACTTTTGGAGTGAACGGGCCCAACCTTTATTGAAGGCGGTGGCCAGTTCTTCGGGACAGCAAGTGCAGCATGGTGCAGCATGGTGCAGCATATGCCAGCCACAGTATGGTGGGATCATTAGACATAATGGTTGTGCTGCGGCCAGTTTGAAGCCCATGGAACAACCAACTACCAGTAATTAATGGTAACTACCATAATTGGCCAACAGAAATCTTAGTATTCACCCCTTGTGCCCGGGCTGAATCAGCCCATTTCCGCTGGGTGAACCCTCCAAGAAAGTCCCCATGTCCTGCGGCCCCTAATGGCGAAGCGGCAGGTGTTGAGCTTCCATGGTGCTGAAATCTGCTGGAGCTGCGACTGGCCCAGATACACAGCGAAAACGGTTCTCAGCCCACAGAATGTCCACTGGCAATTCAGCTACACCCCCATGTCAGGAGGCATTATTTTCCAAGAGTATTTAAATATAGTTATTTAATGTTATTTGATTATATGATATAATATATATATGTATATATTTTTATATGTATATATATATATATATGTGAAAGGTCGTGGACCTCACACACTGGCAGCTTCACCCCAGGTCCACGCTTGAAGATAGGATCAACCCTGTTGATCTGAAAGGAAATGAATATCCAATGTAAGATCTGATTCCCAACCAGAAGAAAAATGAATGGATCCCGGTCCAAGATAGTAATCAATGTAAATCCAAATTGGGGAGCCCTGTCCCTTCTCCGCAGCCAGCCAACAGGTTTTCACCAACGCGCCATGTGCTGCCCTGCAGCGCCTCGACCACGCCCTCCCATGACTTGAGAGGAAGCCACAGCCATGCAAAGAGTGCAAAGGTCACTCACATCAAGGGACACCTGTAAGACATGCAGGAAAATTCACACTCCCAGAATTTTCTTTTGATGTGAGACACTTGGTTCTTGTCCCTTTAGCCAAGTGACGGCTTGTTTGCGGTGTGCATTGGTTTGGAGACTGGCTTGTTCATCGAAAAGTTGGAAACTGCCAGATTCCAATGCGATACGGAGTATCACCGGATCCATCGGTTTGGTCAATGGATCAGCCAGCTGCAGTGAGGTTGGTATCCATCTGAAGAAACAATTTTCATGACACAGCTCACGAATCAGTAAAACTTCTAACGTCGTTCTGTACTCCTCACACGAGGGCATCGCCGTACGTGTTACCAGATCGTAGAGGCTTTTACAATCCGTGACTATTATAGCCTTGTGAAGAGTAGCCAAAGCCTTAGGGGGTTGTCTCCAGTCAAAGTTGTCAACTGCTATGGTACCCCACAATAGACGCATCCAGCTTAGCTTATCCACCCCACGAGACATCGAAAATGCTTCGGCAGACAGTGTAGATCTCACAACTCTCGCAATCTTCTTGGAGGACCATGTAAGTGGACTGATGGGTGCTTTCATGTTCTTTTGAAGTTCAGGGGTAGTTGCAAATACAATTGTGCCTTGAAATGAAGCAAGTTGTTTAGGGCTTGCGAAAGATGCATCACCAAATACTACATGCGTGACTTGATCAATAGGAATGGATCGAATGAAAATCTTGGTATCACTGGTTTCCTGTGCTTCCCGCAACAGTTTGTTTGCCATCAACAAGGTGTTGACCGTCGGTCTGGCAATTTGAGTTTGTATCTCTCCCAAACGTGCTGCCAGATCTGGTCTGGTGTGGGTGACCGCATATTGTAAGCTACCGATGATAGCTCTTAAAGAAGATTTCTCACTTTCACTGGCTTCTTGCTCAGGAACATTACGCCGATGTCTTCCAATTTCCAAAGCTGGAATTGCATAAATGTAGTCCTTTTGAGAAGCAACAATGCTGAAATCAGGTAACTGCTCTAATTGTATGCCTGTGAAAGTAAACTTCCTTTGTTTGAATGCACCAAACGGCAGGACTTCGCGAAGCTTTTGGAGCTGCTTATGGAAAAACTCATCGCCACCACAAATACCATCATCCACGTGAGTTCCTAAAATCCCATGTAAGGTTCGAACATCACCCTTCCAAGACTCTAGATAGTGGACACACGGTTCTAAGGGATGAACACGAAATCCCAGCTTCTTGAGTTGCGATGCTAGTTCCCGGTAAAAGAGCAGTGGAGCATCCACACGTCCGTAAGCATTACCAATGAGAGAACACACTTGATTTTCTCTTAATTGGAGCTTTTGACGGAGCTCTTTGGGCGGTTCCATGGCCAATGGATTGGCATCGTCGGCACGGCCGCGAAGAAAGGCTGTCCGGATGTCGAACGAGGACAAGGCCCACTGTTGTGATGCAACCATCTGCAAAATCGTATGACGACCTTCCTTAGTCAGAGTAGGTGCATCTCTTGCTACTTCAGTTAGTTGTGGGTCCATGTATCCCAAAACTACTAACCTTGCCTTGGCTTTGCGACCTTGGACTTTACCATTTTGATCTTCTATTGGTTTCCATGTTAATACCCACCTGGACCTTAGGATTTGATCGGGGTTCAAGGACTTTCTCAAGACTGGTTTCAGGGCACTGGTCTGTAACCAACAATTGAGTTCAGCATCCTTGGCAATATCAAACAGTCGGCGGTCCTCTGGAGAAAGATCTTTTATTTGAACTTCAGCTCGAGCCCTTTTGCTCGCACTGGCAACGCATGCAAGTTCCTGAGGACGAGGATCAGTGGACCACTTCAGCAGGTCTTGTTTTGACATGGGTACTTCTAACATGAAACACTGGTCTTCGAAATGTTCCAGAGGTTGATCTAAAATTGGCATTTCGTCCTCTGCCAGACAGACTTCTGGAGCCTCTGAGCCGGGCTGATAGGTTAGCCATTCATGCAGTGGCTGATCCGTTGGACATCCCATGACATCTTGGCACCAAAACACCTGGTCAGTTTGGAGTGAATCATCTTCCTCATTTTCGGCAGGAATGTCATTAGGCGGCTCCAAAATTTCCGCAGCTGGTTCTATGGATTCATCAGGCACTGGCTGATCAGCTTCAGAGGTGGCTTGTTGTGAAGGAGTATTTGGTATTTCCGGAAATACTTCACTTTCGGGTTGAATGCTAGTTTGGTGGCCGTTAGATACTTGATCAAAGGGTAGTGGAGTTCCAGGTGAATATTCAAGGGTGTCCTGATTTTCAGGGGCATCTGGCAATCTGTGCGTCATGTTGGGATTCTCCTTTGGATCTGATTGTAGCGTCTGTTCTATGCTCTGGTTTCCTTGCCATTCTCTGAGTGAGGCTGGTCGCAGGCTTTCTGGCGAACATCTCAGCAACTTGTGAGCATGCGCAACCCAGACAACTGACGAACTTTCTTGACTCACAACTCTGGCTGGCCCATACCAGCGTCCACTCTCACGGCGATTTGGCTTACCTTGACGTCTCCAGTACATGACTAACTGACCAGCCTGAAATGGCCCCCTTGGTGGGCATGATCTTCTTAAAAGTGCACGTCGAATAGCTTGGTCATTGTCCGTTGATAGAAATGTCTTTCTGGCAAGAGATCGTATTTCAAGTTGTTTTCGGAAACGTTCACATGCTAAATCATCACCTACAGCCATGCTATGGGCTCCAAGTGATTCGTCAGCCGTCAACGAGGCCGGAACACGAGTGGCTTTGCCCAAAACAATCTGCTCAGGAGAGAATCCCTGATGGCGACTTAGGGAGTTTTTGGCTTGGAAGCATGCCCTGAGAATTGTGTCAAACTCATGCGTGGAGGAAATCATCTTTTCAGCATCAAAACGATTTAACATTTCCTTTATCAATGCTCCATGCCTTTCAACTCGACCCTTTTGCCATGCCTCTGTAGAGATCTTTGGAACAGTGTTCAGGCTCTGTAAGAAACTCAGCCATTCATCTGAGCAAAATTCGCCTGCTGGATCTGAATAAATTCCAGTTGGATTCCCTGCCCATGAGAGCCACATGTCGGAGAAAGCTGGAATCACATGCTCTAGATTTCGATTATCCAGGCGACGTCCCAAATGAAACAGTGAAGCTTCATCAATGCAGTGGAAGACCATGACCTGAAAACCAGCTTTGCCAGACCAGAAAAATCCATCGATCCCCACAAAATCATTGAACTCAGATGGATCATGTAACTGAGCTGGACGTTGATGCCTGAACGCACTGGACTCAACACAAGCATCACACACAAATTCCCGAGCGGCTTCAATCACTTGAAGTCGAGCACCCTGAGTTTGGAGGTGGGCTGCCAACTTCTCTGGATCAGGATGACCTAAGTTTTTATGGAGCTTCACTAAATCACTTTTCTCGTTCTCGCTCAACAATCTAAACTTTGGACCGTGCAAAGCTATTGGAGGTGGTGCCCAGCCCTCACAAACTTGATTCGAGGTGCGTTCAGTCACGGCTCTGGGCAAGTGTGCAGGCTGTCGAACTCGAATTGCTGAGGCGGGCTCAGTCTCATCAGGCTGTCGCTCTGCATTGGGAGCATTAGCTTCGGGAGCTTCCATCGGAGCAGTTTCAGAAACTTTCTGGGACCCAAAAATTGTTAGGGTTAATCGACTGGGAATGCAACTGCGAACACGCTTTGCACGAGTCATGCTGTGCCAATCTTCAGGACCGAGATCATGAATCTGGTTGTTCCGTCTATGCCAACATATGGTATGACGAATAGGACAATCATGAGAGGCCGGTGCATGAACTGGGACTTGATACCTTTCTGTACCTCGACACACAAACATGCTTTCCATCTGCATGTTGGGTAGAAGTTCTTGGGCCTTCTGGAATGCCTCTGAATCTGCGGAACATCGGGTGTTTCCTACACGTGGTGCAATGTTTTGTGCCAGCTGCATAACGGCAAACCACGGATGCGAAGCTGCTTGGGCTTTCTCTGATTCCTTTGGATCCACATCATGAGACATTTCAGATTCAGGATTTTGTCCAACTTTTGGAAAACTCTCATCATGGGAAGGAGGATCCAGGTCAATGGGTTGTTCAAGCTTCCTACGTTTGGCAAGGTGAAAAGAAAACCGGGCTCTCTTTGCAGGAGGTTCTTCGGGATCAACATCATTAACATGAGCATCCTGTGGTGAGCACACGGAATGATTCAACTGGCAAAGGTATTTGGCCATGGTTCTTGCAAAACCTTGGCAGTAGGTCGCACAAAAGTGAGTCAACTTCGTGCTCACTCCCTGGTGATGGAAGCTTCCCTCAATTCTCTGATGAGTATGATCACGCGGACAACTCTGGCCATCGAGCTTCTCATGGAACTGGATAGAAGTGGTGAGAATCACACTGCTTTTTCGGAGGAATCGATTTGTCTTGGGAACTTTCAAACCAAATCTACACATGTCAATCCTGGCCATGAGGACATGTTGAAACATTGGTTGCATGACCTCAAGTCGTAACAAACCCGAACCTTTTGGCTGTTCAAGGTGAAAATGTCGATTTCGATCAACCTGATATTTACAAAGTCGTGCACAAAGTTGGACATGAGGAAGCTGATCATGTTGTTTCTGTTGAATCATGTCAAACAAGGCTACGCTCTTTTGTTGATTCAAACGGTTCCATCCACTCCAAGGTCCACATTCTGGAGCAACCCAAATATGCTCTGGTTGACAGGTTTCAATGACATGCCACAATTTGGCTCGGCCAGAAATCGTCGATAAATCTCCATCCTCTCTGGTGAATCGACGGCTGGGAAGGCCAAGGCGCTTGACAGCGTCTGTCAGAGGACTGTCTTTTCCAGCATAAATTTCTAACAGAAAAACCCGATCTCTGGTTGACTCAGTCTTCCATTGTCCATCCATGATATGTTGATCAAAAATGGATTCAGCCTTGTAAACACTCTCAATAAGTTCTTTAGAGAGACCATGCAAAGGAGGACCCTTGGACAACTCTTGGCGTGTCAACATAACTTGATCATGGAAAATCGAGTCCTCTAGGCCTCGATCTCTGCTGCTTCGCGCTGGGCTGCCAGACGGCTCAGACGCATCTGGCCGTAGCGGACGAAGTCCTGCATCTCTGGAGTCAAAGACAGGAAGCGGCTCTGGCACCATTCGAAATACTGGGGATCCTCTCGGATCGTGGTTTCGAAGTTCTTGCCCTTGTGCTTCTTTCCCCAGGTCACCAGGTGAGTGCCCCATTCTTCGAAAGGCACTGCTGTCGGTATCGGCATCATGGAAACCACCTGTCGTTGAACTTGATGGACAATCTCTAGCTCTTCCTCCTCTGAAAACGTCTTTGTCGGACTCCTCGAGGCACCACATCATGGGGATCGATGATTTGTTCATCATTGGCTGCTTTTGTGGTCCGGCTGAACCTGTCTGAGCCAGATGAGACTTGGTTCCCATAGACGTCTTGGCCTTGGAAACTGGTTTGATCATCTCTTGATTGGCAGCGGAGGACGTCCCTGCTTTCACTGGACGCTGACGATTGAGATTTTCCAGAAGAGCACGTTGGGACTGCAGTTCTTCCATCATGATCTGAATCTGTTGGGCGGTCTCCATGGGAGCTTCCTCCGTCAGGTGGGTCGATGAACCCATCTCGAGATGCTGAATTAGCATCTGCAGCAGCATTGTCATCACCTGAATCAGTGATTCGGCTACGGCTTTGAACAAGCTTACCACCGACGGCATGAGATTGGGTCGGATTCCAATCAGGAGCGTTGGGCGGCACACTCGGGACAAAAATGGCTTTGTTGGCAAAATTGAATTTTCGTTCACTCGTGGTTGGCTGATCTGCAAAACATCGAAAAATTGGATGATGCTTCTTCCCATGTACACCTGCATGTTTGGAATGTTCTCCATGACATGTCTCCCCAACATAGGCTTGGAGGCACTGATCACCCAAATTAGTAACCCCTTGACACAGATCACCAACATTGACTAGATACAACCCCGTATTACTGATTTGAAGCGGGATGGGCTCATGGTGCAAACGTTTCATGTAGCAAATGTCTTGGACTGCATCGAGTAAACCACCTAGCATTTTGAAGGCTCTTTTGGAGAGAAGAAAAGGCGTCCCCCCCGGAACAACTTCAACTGCAAGCCATACTGTTCGGCGGTCCACGGCTTTCAAAGGAAAGTGGATCCGGTATGAACTGGTGAGAGATTGCTCATTTCCAAATCTGAACTTGATCTTGCTAGGGCTGGATTTCAATTTGCTACAAACATTGGATGGCAAATTACTCTGCAGCTCTTTTAACGTTCTTTCGCCTATGATGCATCGGCTAGCCCCAGTGTCCAAAATGGCGCTGGTGGGGCATTGTGCGGCCGAGCTCATCATGATGGATTCTGTGGATGCTCCATCGATCTTGTCATCAATCATAGGAGGCTGCATCAAAAACTCATGAGGCTTCTTCCTGAAGAGCAGGGCTCGATCGGGACGAACAAACTTGGGACAGACAGATGTGGAAACAGGCATGGACGACTTGATCTTACCCAAATTATTACCACTCTTAAACCCCAAGTTATCCCCAGGCTTATCCCCATTATGACATCGGTCTTTCATGAATCGAGCCATTCGATTCTGCAGTTTCCGGCGATCGGATGCGCTGACATGTTCTAAAGCCATGAAGCAGGTTTCTTGCAAAACTGGTGGAAAAGATGAACGAACAAACCCCGCCTGAGTCTCCGTCACATCTTCAGCTTCTGAGTATACTTCTACGTCCTGGTTCACGCAATCATCAAAGGCCACATTGGCCGCAGCTGGGGTTTGGCTCTGGTTCTTGTCGGATACATTCAAAGGGCACTCTGCCTTCCAGTGTCCAACCGCTCCACACTTCCGGCAGTTGGAGCGAGCAATACGAGCCATGAGCTGTTCGCGGCTGCGGGACTGCTTTCCTTTGTATTTTCCTTTGGCCCCTTTTCCACGACCCTTTGTGGGCCAGAAACCTCGATTCTTGCGTTTTTCCAGGAGGCGATTTCGAGCCTCAAGGTATGTGGTCATGGCATCATGCATCTCTGGTGTTTCCTGGAGAAACTCTTCCAGTTCATTCTCAAAAGCACAAACTGTCATGGCATCGGAATCTTCTTGAGCTGCTAAGGCCTCAATGGTCTCAAAGTCCAAGTCGAGGTCAAAGTCCTCAGTGGCAGTGAGGTAGGCACGGTCATGATTTTCTGAGTGCTCCAGTTCCATGGCTTCTGAATGGTGAACATCATAGACCTTGGTCTTGTTCGAACTTCTCCCTGACTGGAATTCAGCGAAAAACTTACTACCCAGGAGCCTGAAGGATTTCACAACTGGCTTGTATCGTAAATCTCCCTCATGTTCCAGCAAGATTCGCTTCTTATCCTCAGCTGGCAGTGTTGACTGACGCAGAAGGACATATGCTTGAACTTCCTCAAGCGTCGTCCCACGCGTGAGGAGTTCCACAAAACTTGACTCCGTCCTAGACAGAAATGAATCATGGCTCTCATCCTGACGTTGCACCGTGCCATAGAGTGCACGTTCAAAGTGCTCATATCTTTCTTCCAATTCTGTTGATCCCCAAGATCCACCAATTGCATCAACCAACAAGGCTATGCCGGACTGATTGGCAACCTTGAGTTTTTCAGGCGGAAGTCTTGCCACTTTTTTGAAGGCTGTCCCCTCGACGAGGAGTGCTGCACGAGGTGCTAACAGAGCTAAATGTTCTGTCGGCCACATAGATGCCAAAAACTTGAGCTTCTGTACATACTCCTGGACATTCGTCGTTCCAGGAATGAACTTCGGAATGCTTTGCCAGGGTGGCTGTGGTGCCACATTGGCCGTAGATCCCCCCATCTCGGGGTCATCGGGGTCAGGAAGGGGCACACCGATTCCACCCCCTTGGCCATCAGCTGCAGTAGACGGCATTGCACTTGCCGCAGGTCAAAACTGGCAAAAGAAAATTCGCAAAAAGGATTGTCGGCCCCTGGATCGACACTCTTGCGGTGTCCACCGGCACCGGAGCTTGGAGGCTCCGCTACCAGTGTGAAAGGTCGTGGACCTCACACACTGGCAGCTTCACCCCAGGTCCACGCTTGAAGATAGGATCAACCCTGTTGATCTGAAAGGAAATGAATATCCAATGTAAGATCTGATTCCCAACCAGAAGAAAAATGAATGGATCCCGGTCCAAGATAGTAATCAATGTAAATCCAAATTGGGGAGCCCTGTCCCTTCTCCGCAGCCAGCCAACAGGTTTTCACCAACGCGCCATGTGCTGCCCTGCAGCGCCTCGACCACGCCCTCCCATGACTTGAGAGGAAGCCACAGCCATGCAAAGAGTGCAAAGGTCACTCACATCAAGGGACACCTGTAAGACATGCAGGAAAATTCACATATATATATATTTGATATATATATATATATGTATATGTATGCAGGTTAGATTTTCCAGGGATGTTAACAACAGCTTCAACGATAGCCTATGCCTGGACATGTTCTAGAGAATAAACACTTCTGAGAGCATTTGATTTTGGATGTGCCAAACATGCAAACAACATGAAACAACTTGATTCTCTATGGAAGTCATTGTAGATTTAATTTTGGACCTTGATGTGTTTGATTGTCCATCGCATGAACGAGATACTGAAAGGAATGCAGACATGATAGATCATATTTGAGGCCATACTCGTATCAAGGTTCTGGACGGTGCAAAGCCCGTTGCTTTGATTCACACTGGCTTAAAGTCACACCCAGCACAGCGCAGCATAGAAGAAAAAACGTATAATTTCATTGTAAGGGATGCGTCTTGCTTGCCCCTCTCAACCCTCAGCAACGAGCTGATCCTTTCTCCCAGTCGCAAGTTCTGAACCTTCCCAGTGAACAACGAGCTGAACACCTTTATCTGATTTTATCCCAATTACCTGGGACCATTCCAAGCTCCAGGGCACGAAATCCATGTTGAACCAACTTCTTTTGAGCTTCACTGCCAGCCGTCCTAAGGATGTTTGACAACTGGACCGAGGCTGAAGCTCCGAGGGGTCAAGGGTGGGATTCCATGGGGCCTGCGTTGAATCTTCGGAAAGACAACTGCAACTCTGGAAGTTGAGTGGCGGATGGAACCCTGCTCGAATTTTGTACGAGTTTCCTTGACTTTTCAACAGTCTCAACATTTATTATCTTTTCCATGGATCCATCTGAGTACATAACTCAGTAGGTTCTTTGTCATGGGTTTCAAAAGTTTGGGGTTTGGGTGGGTCTTGGAATTTTGCCAACCGTCAAAACAGCCGGGATGACATTCATGGACAATGAACAGTCAAAACAAATAACTGACATTGTTAGCCTAGGATCAATGCTCTTTCCGTATCAGGTTCCAACTCATTTCCGTGCAAGAGACCTTCATGGGATGAAAGAAAGGATGTATACACATGAGATTATGCACATGACATTACATGACCTGGCCCAACCATGATTCATTTAGATTCATTTAGTATTTGGAGAAAACTCAAAACCTCCACACTTTTCCCCTTCGTCACACAATGCAGGAACTTTGCGGGGCAGAACTTTGACCGTTTCAGGCTGAATCTCCCGTGAAGTTGTTCAATTGTAGAGTTCATCTATGGCATGCGCGCATACATCTTGTGAGTGTCAATGTGTTGCGATGTTTTTCCTGGTCCTCATTTTTTGACGCTTCGTTGACCAAACCCGTTCCGGAACGACCGGTGGAGCATCCTGCCAGCCACAGGAGCATCCTGCCCCGCAAAGGCGCGCAGCCACGGGTCACAGTCGGAGTTGGTGATGGATCTGACAGGGGAAAATATCTATGAACTGAGGGCTATAGAACCCATAGAACCCCTGCAGTGGCAAATTGGAGGGTATACACCAACTACGGTACCCACATGGACCCACCATGAATTGACTTGAGAGATCATCCCAGGTACTTCTATGTATTCGTTTCGGGGCTTGTCATTATGATATCGTCCTGGGAGTTTTTAGGTGGAGAATCAAGGATGTCACTGTGTTTTTTCCCGCGCAATTTTTAGCTCCAGGTTGGCCTGACATTGGCCCAACATACCCCCTGACGGGAGTTTATTTCAACCACAGACAGCAAAAAATAAGCCCAACATACCTCAAGTGGGCCCAAAATAAGCGTGTTCATCTGGGGCCCCAGGTGCCAGATGAACACGTTTCTTGCCTTCAATTGTCTAGATGGCCCAAAGTAGGGCCAAGATGGCCCAACATGGGCATAACAAATGATGGTATAAACGGTATAGATTCAATTTAGATGATACAGAAAAGCAGCTACGGCTATAACAGTAAATTGAACTGATCTGGAGAAAGATGCGAAAACATCTCTTTGCATGCGTCATGCATAACACAGAACTGCTTCAAGATGTGCAAGACGGGTCAAAAGACAAACCTGATTGAGTGCAAGGCTTGTGCTGAGCGCTGATTGGATGTTCTTTGTTTGGAAGGGGGGCAAATTTGGGTCCACAAAGACCTTCTGGCACTATAAGTCATCACCCCCACAGTCAGTCAGATACCAAGGCTAGGGCATGAGCAAAATAATATCCCAAACTTGTTTGACTTGGGAGGTATGACTTTATTCAGGCCTACTTTGAGACAAATGAATGTGCCCAATGGTTCCTTAGGCCACCTGATTTCAGAGTTGATTTTGTTTGCGCCTGTCCCGGCGCAGCTTAATCTTAAAGAGGTTCCTGTCCAATTTGCACCCTGGGGGGGTCTTGCTTTAAGACTTTGAAAACAGGCCCCCCAAGGAACCCGTCATATATACCAAGGGGATATGATAACCAACGTGGTACGGCAGATCAAGTTGGTTCAGTTTCCTGTTTCGCAGGTGAAACTTCCAGTTCTAGGAATCAGAATGTCCTTTCATTCACCCGTATGACACATGGCAGATTAGATTCAGGAGCTGTCCACATCTTCCGGGTTTAAGACCACCATCCTGGAGTCAATGGATGGAGGAGCCCACCATTTCCATCAGCACCGTGCCGTTCCGGATGAGGTTTCTCCGCCTGAAGGATGTGGGATCTGGCAAGGCATGGCATCCTTTTTGCCGTTTTTTTTCTGATGGTGGAATGCCTATTTTGGTTGGCTTATGTTTTTTAAGTCATCAACTATTCAATCAACATGTTTTCTCGAAATGCCAAGTGCTATTTGGTTTAGATATTAATTTTGGTTCAACAAACCATTCATCATTTTGGAATATGCCGCGTCACCAATGACTTGGGCCTTACCCGCGTTTTTGTTTGCTTCAGAGGCACTGGAACTTTCTGTTTCAGTGCCACCTTCCTCGGTTTTTTTCCACTCCAGTGATGGATTCTGCTTTGCGCTTGCTGTATGGGCCCTGTTTGGCGTCATATGAGCGTAGCATGGTTCTAGCGTGGCAAGGCTGTTTTGGATGGATGGCTTGAAATCAACCCTGAGGGAGTCAAGTCACCAGCCAAATTCAAGGACCGGTCGTATGGTGCAAAAAGCTTACATAGGGTTTCCGTTTGTAGCAGGACCATACCCACCATTGTAGAGTACATTGATTCGTACGGCTGTTTGTATTGCTCACAAAGGCTCCCTGCACTTGGCATGGCCCTTGTGAATCATCAAGAGATGCCATCAGCATACCGCATAGGCTAGCATACGGCAGGGGGTTGCTCATTATAGGAAAAATGGTAGCTTAGTCAATCGTTTTCCACGTGTTTCTTTTGAACCATTCTAGCAAAAAAAACTTGTTTTGAGCTCCAAACAGGTTTTTGGATTGGAGGGTATTTGTTTTGCCTGTTTTTTTCATTTTTTCCCCACCTGCCAGGTGAGGGTTGTTAGATTTTATGTCAGTTGCCTGGTCCTCCTCCTCTCCTCTCCTCCTCCTCCTCGTCCTCCTCCTCCTCGTCGTCCTCGTCCTCCTCGTCCTCCTCGGTCCAACTGCGACCCGCGATCCACAGTGTTCTCTGTCGGACCTCAACCAACCATGACCATCCATGCTCAGTGTTCCCTGCCGGACCTCAACCACGACCATCCACGTCAGTGTGCCCTGCCGGACCTCAACCACGACCATCCACGCCCAGTGTTCCCTGCCGGACCTCAACCACGACCATCCCCGCCCAGTGTTCCCTGCCGGACATCAACCACGACCATCCACGCCCAGTGTTCCCTGCCGGACCTCAACCGCGAGTATCCACGCCAAGTGTTCCCTGCCGGACCTCATGTAGGAAGATAAAATGTCAGATAGAGTGCCAGAAGGTTTGCCAGGTAGAATGCCAGAAAATATACCAGAAGATATGCCAGATAGATATGCCACAAGATATTCCAGAAGATATGCCAGATAGAATGCCAGAGAGAATGCCAGATAGAATGCCAGAAGATATGTCAGAATATATGCCAGAAGATATGCCAGATAGAATGCCAGATAGAATGCCAGAAGATATGCGAGATAGAATGCCAGAAGATATGCCAGATAGAATGCCAGAAGATTTGCCAGATAGAATGCCAGAAGATATGCCAGAAGATATGCCAGATAGAATGCCAAATAGAATGTCAGAAGATATGTCAGATAGAATGCCACAAGATATGCCAGAAGATATGCCAGATAGAATGCCAAATAGAATGTCAGAAGATATGTCAGATAGAATGCCAGAAGATGTGCCAGTAAGAACATGTATAAATGTCATGGTGGGGATCACACGAAGTAAAGTAATTTTTTCCCCACCTGCCAGGTGAGGGTTGTTAGATTTTATGTCAGTTGCCTGCTCCTCTCCTCGTGCTCCTCGTCCTCCCTCTCCTCCTCCTTGTCCTCCTCGTCCTCCTCGTCCTCCTGCTCAACTGCGACCCTCGACGCACAGTGTTCTCTGTCGGACCTCAACCACGACCATCCACGCCCAGTGTTCCCTGCCGGACCTCAACCACGACCATCCCCGCCCAGTGTTCCCTGCCGGACCTCAACCACGACCATCCACGCCCAGTGTTCCCTGCCGGACCTCAACCGCGAGTATCCCCGCCCAGTGTTCCCTGCCGGACCTCAACCGCGACCATCCACGCCCAGTGTTCCTGCCGGACCTCAACCGCGAGTATCCACGCCAAAAGATATGCCACATAGAGTGCCAGAAGATATGCCAGATAGAATGTTAGAAGATATGCCAGATAGAATGCCAGAAGGTATGCCAGATAGGATGCCAGATAGAATGTCAGATAGAATGCCAGAAGATATGCCAGATAAAGTGCCAGAATGTTTGCCAGATAGAATGCCAGCAGATTTGCCAGATAATATGTCAGAAGATATGCTAGATAGAATGCCAGATGGAATGCCAGAAGATTTGCCAAATAATATGCCAGAAGATATGCCAGATAGAATGCCAGATGGAATGCCAGAAGATATGCCAGAACATATGCCAGAAGATATGCCAGAAGATATGCCAGAACATCTGCCAGAAGATATGCCAGAACATCTGCCAGAAGATATGCCAGATAGAATGCCAGAAGATATGCCAGATAGAATGCCAGATCGAATGCCAGAAAATATGTCAGATAGAATGCCAGAAGATTTGCCAGTAACAAAATGTATAAATGTCATGGTGGGGATCACACTAAGTAAAGTAATTTGCTTCTGGCTTTTGGCTTTTAGCTTCTGGCTTTTGGCTTTTGGCTTCTGGCTCCTTCGGTTTCTGGCTTCTGGCTTGTATTTGCTGCATTTTGGAACCAAAATTCTGATTTGCGTGCTATTTGCTGCAGTTTGGAGCCAATTTGCATGCCCATTTGGCTTTTGGTTTTTAGCTTCTGGTTCCTTCGGTTTCTGGCTTCTGGCTTGTATTTGCTGCATTTTGGAGCCAAAATCTCTGATTTGCGTGCTATTTGCTTCAGTTTGGAGCCAACTTGCATGCCCATTTGGCTTTTGGCTTTGGCTTCACTTGACTCTTGACTTTTGGTTTTTGGTTTTTGTTGTTTTTTTTGGCTTTGGTTTCACTTGGTTTTTGGCTTTTGGCCGCACTTCTGTTGAATGTATGTGTAGTATTGTAGTTTGCATATAACATTTCATAATGTCATAGAATACACTGCATATAAATTGCATGTAAACTGCACAGAAATACAGTCGTAATATGAGCTTATATGCATGCTGTTCTGAGAGGAATTGAGACCTGTTTTCAACAAGTGTCCCAACTACTTGCTGTTCCTAAAGTTCTTAAGACCATATTTCAAGACACGTGTTGAACTTTTGTTCTCCAACTATATTTGCTTGAATTGTGTTTCACAATGGTTGCATGGCAGTCAGAAGTTTCCCTGTGTACCTTTGAGTTTATATGCATGTGTATCGGAGAGAAATTGCAACCTTTTTCAACATCAAGTGTCCTAACGAGCTCTTTTTTTATGTCTGAAAAAAGTATCTCAGGACACTTGTTGAATCTGGCCTCCTACTATATCTATGTGGGTTGATGTGTGTGAAATCCTAAAGAGACCCTAAATAACACCCTAAACGAACCCTAACTAACAAAATTAAAAATGAAACCCTAAAGAAATGCCAAATGACACCCTAAAGAAACCCTAAACAAACCCTAAATGAAAGAGACCCTATTTCAAGACACTTGTTGAACTGTTGTTCTCCAATTATATTTGCTTGAATTGTGTTTCACAATGGTTGCATGGCAGTCAGAAGTTTCCCTGTGTACCTTTGAGTTTATATGCATGTGCATCGGAGAGAAATTGCAACCTTTTTCAACATCAAGTGTCCTAACGAGCTCTTTTTTTATGTCTGAAAAAAGTATCTCAGGACACTTGTTGAATCTGGCCTCCTACTATATCTATGTGGGTTGATGTGTGTGAAATCCTAAAGAGACCCTAAATAACACCCTAAACGAACCCTAACTAACAAAATTAAAAATGAAACCCTAAAGAAATGCCAAATGACACCCTAAAGAAACCCTAAACAAACCCTAAATGAAAGAGACCCTATTTCAAGACACTTGTTGAACTGTTGTTCTCCAATGATATTTGCTTGAATTGTGTTTCACAATGGTTGCATGGCAGTCAGAAGTTTCCCTGTGTACCTTTGAATTTATATGCATGTGTATCGGAGAGAAATTGCAACCTTTTTCAACATCAAGTGTCCTAACGAGCTCTTTTTTTATGTCTGAAAACAGTATCTCAGGACACTTGTTGAATCTGGCCTCCTACTATATCTATGTGAGTTGATGTGTGTGAAATCCTAAAGAGATCCTAAATGACACCCTAAACGAACCCTAAAGAAACTATAAATGAAAACTTAAAGAAACCCTAAATGACACCCTAAAGAAACCTTAAATGAAAGCACCAATGAAACCCTACAGAAACCCTAAATGAAACCCCTCAATGAAACACCAATTACATCGTAAAAGAAACCCTAAATGAAACCCTAAATGAAACATAGTTTTTGCATTGTTGCCTTCATTTTTCCATAGGTTTCAGTTTCTTCATTTTTACATGAGCAACAAAAGAACAACGAAAACAACAAGAACAACAGTAACAACAGTAACAAAGAACAAACAACAACAACACCAAGTCCAAAATCATGCAAAAGAGGGAAAACTAATGAGTAGGATGGAAAAATCGATGAACAACGCTAGAAAAAGCAACGACAAATATAGAAAAACATAGAAAAAGCAATGCGAAAGCGAAGAAAAACAAGAAAAAACATCGAAAAATTGAGGAAAACGCTAGAAAATTTTTGAAAACTATGGAAAACTGATGGAACGCGCTCGAAAATCATAGAGAACTATGGAAAATGAAGGAAAAACGCTGGAAAACTAGCGAAAACAATTGGAAAATTGATGAAAACTGCTGGAAAAACAATGAGAAAGCAAGGAACCCAACCCCGAACCAAAAAAAAATGCAAAAAACAAATGCCAACTTAATTCTGCGCCCTTTTGGATTTCGTTCAGCACATTCCTCGCTTTTCAACATTTTATACATTTTATCATAGGTCTCATTGCGACACTCCTTAATTTATTGTCGTAATTGTCCCCACCTATTCGATGGTTTCTATCCTCGAACGGGAACCTCATCAATTTTCCCATCGGCAGTTCATTGTCTTGACATTTCCCCTGATTTTCCGGGATTTGTCCGATTCTTTAATTCACTGTTCACTATGTTCACTTGCTGTAGCCCAATACTGAGCTCCACGAAAACATCCCCAGTCCTTGTCCTACAGTCTCGACATGCGCAGGTCGAGAAGAAGAATTCCGGATCGTGTTTTTCGGATCAGTGCAAAGGCGCACGCCTTGGCCATGCAGGGTCGTCAGCCAGCCACCTATGGGAGGTCAGAGTTTGATCATCCGGGGTTAGCATTGGAATCCAGTTACTATCCGGTTTCCTCTGGGTATCTTTTCAGTGGCGCCATCGGATTTCCGACGTTTCTTTGTGGGAACCCACTGTCTAGACATTTGCTAGTGTTGAAAACTGCTTTTGCTATCATCTTGACAGCGCGACCCTTCTGGCGCTATCATCTTGACAGCGCACCCCACTTCCACGGTCTGAAGATCCCGATATCAGTTTGCCGGGTCATGGGGTTCCTTTGTAGCACGGCCCACCATTGCAGCGTAAATTGATTCGTGCAGCTGTTTGCGTTGGTCACAAAGATTCCCTGCACCTGTCATGACACTTGGCATGATTTGGCATGGCTGGATTCATCAAGAGGCACCATCAATATAGCGCAGCATAGCGGAGCGGAGCGGGTTGATCACCGTAAGTAAAGAGTTACTCCCACTGTGCCAAACCCGCTGCACGACGGCAGGCCCATGGCCACTTCCACGCCTCCGTCTCTTCAGCTTGAGCGCCCGAGTCGTCAAAAAGTCTTCAGACCGGAAAAAAATTAATGGAGTTTCCAAGGGCCAAGGAAGAACATCCCTTCAGGGAGAAGTTGCGAACACTGCGATAGTCAGAACTGTTCTTCACTTTGCGGACGATGCGCCGCAGCATTTCGAGCAGCCTGACAGAAGTTTGCGTCCTACAATGGCAACAATCCACGCAATCTACTGACGAAGGCAGTTGGATTCACAGCAAGCAACAGATTTCACAAACATTTTTGCATATGTTGGACCATTTGACTATGAAATGAGTCTCTGCAAGCTGTTTGTTGGGTGCATGTTGGATGTCATGTAGGTCCAGCACCAGAGCTTCGCCTACTTTACACAACAGACTGAATAAACCATTTTGTGATCCTTGATCCTTCTTGTTGTTCCGTTCGGTCGAATGCTGCATTGCCCGTTTAGCCAGCAGATTGAAGGAAATCAGACAGTTGCGTTGGGTGGGGATGCATCCCTTGACAGCCTCAACATTTTTGGATTCAGAATTCAATCAACTTGCACTGCCAAGCGCGCGTTTTGCCATTGCACCGGCCTTCCAGTCCCTGCGTCAGCCGGGATGCCCAATCAACGTGGAACCAGTTCTACAGAGCAGGTGGTTCTACAAATGGCTGCATTGGAAAGATCGATTGAACGATTCGGGTGGGAATCACGGCCCTGTCGTTGATCACTTTGGAATGTAGGAGGTGCACGCATTTCCCATTTGATCACGCATGCTTGAATGGGAACAGACGCGCAGTAATTAATCATTTACGCTTTGCGTATTGGCTGGGGGTGGCTGGGGCATTAAAAAGCCAAATGTATTAATGTGGGATACAGATTAGTGTGGGGATACAGAATTGTGTCCACAGACTCCAAAATTATTTTGTTACTTTGGAAATGTTTGAGGGTACAGTTTTGTGTCCTGTGGATTTTGGTGTAAGTTTTCTTTTCATTTTTTTTGTTTTTGTTTTAAGTTTTTAATTGTTTTAAATTATTTTTAATTATAATATTTTTTAATTTAAATATTTTTCATTTTATTTTTAATTTTATTTTTATTTTTAATCTATTTTTATTTTTAATTAATAATAATAATTTTTAATTTAAATATTTTTATTTTATTTTTAATTTTATTTTTAATTATAATAATTTTTAATTTAAACATTTTTAATTTTATCTTTAATTTCAAATAATTTTTAATTTAAATATTTTTAATTTTAATTATAACAATTGTTTATTAATTATTAAAATTATGTCAGGATACAGAATTGTGTCTTGGTCTTGTTTTTTGTGTTCAAACATTTTTCATTTTTTTAAGCGTTTTTCTTTTACTTTTTATTTTCCATTATTGAAATTTTCCAGATGCCTTCCACAGAAAATTACATCCAGGTACACAATAGTGTGGTTTGTTTGGAGGGTACACTATTGTGTCCTGCTGCTTCCTGAGGTCATGATTTTTTTTATTTTTTCAATTATTTCCTTTACCTTTTCCTTTGCTAAAGTTTTTTCCTTTTAATTACTTAATTCCTTTCTTAGTGTCTTTCATTTGAAATTCTCAGGAATGCCCAGTTTCCCAAAATATATGATGCCTTATTAAAACCCAATTAAAAAACATCACTCAAACAATTTTTCAAGGGGGTAGTCCATGAGCACCCCTGATACACAATAGTGTGGTGGGTACACTATTGTGTCCTGCTGCTTCCTGAGGCCATGATTTTTTGATTTTTCAATCATTTCCTTTACCTTTTCCTTTGCTATTGTTTTTCTTTTAATTACTTAATTCCTTTTTTTAGTTTCTTTCATTTGAAATTCTCAGAAATGCCCAGTTTCCCAAAATATATGATGCCTTATTAAAACCCAATTAAAAAACATCACTCAAACAATTTTTCAAGGGGGTAGTCCATGAGCAACCCTGATACACAATAGTGTGGTTTGTTTGGAGGGTACACTATTGTGCCCTGCTGTTTCCTGAGGTCATGATTTTTTGTTCTTTTTTCAATCATTTCCTTTACCTTTTCCTTTGCCAAAGTTTTTTCTTTTAATTACTTAGTTACTTTCTTAGTTTCTTTCATTTGAAATTCTCAGAAATGCCCAGTTTTCCAAAATATATGATGCCTTATTAAAAACCCAATTAAGCAACATCACTCAAACAATTTTTCAAGGGGGTAGTCCATGAGCAACCCTGATACATAATAGTGTGGTTTGTTTGGAGGGTACACTATTGTGTCCTGCTGTTTCCTGAGGTCATGATTTTTTGATTTTTTCAATCATTTCCTTTACCTTTTCCTTTGCTAAAGTTTTTTCTTTTAATTACTTAATTACGTTCTTAGTTTCTTTCATTTGAAATTCTCAGAAATGCCCAGTTTCCCAAAATATATGATGCCTTATTAAAACCCAATTAAACAACATCACTCAAACAATTTTTCAAGGGGGTAGTCCATGAGCAACCCTGATACACAATAGTGTGGTTTGTTTGAGGGTACACTATTGTGTCCTGCTGCTTCCTGAGGTCATGATTTTTTGATGTTTTCAATCATTTCCTTTACCTTTTCCTTTGCTAAAGTTTTTTTCTTTTAATTACTTAATTATTTTCTTAGTTTCTTTCATTTGAAATTCTCAGAAATGCCCAGTTTCCCAAAATATATGACACCTTATTAAAACCCAATTAAAAAACATCACTCAAACAATTTTTCAAGGGGGTAGTCCATGAGCAACCCTGATACAGAATAGTGTGGTTTGTTTGGAGGGTACACTATTGTGTCCAGCTGCTTTCCTGAGGTTATGTTTTTTTTTTTGATTTTTTCAATCATTTCCTTTACCTTTTCCTTTGCTAGCTAAAGTGTTTTCCTTTTCAATTAATTTCTTTCTTAGTTTCTTTCATTTGAAATTCTCAGAAATGCCCAGTTTCCCAAAATATATGATGCCTTATTAAAACCCAATTAAAAAAACATCACTCAAACAATTTTTCAAGGGGGTAGTCCATGAGCAACCCTGATACACAATAGTGTGGTTTGTTTGGAGGGTACACTATTGTGTCCTGCTGCTTCCTGGTGTGATTTTTTTTCAAGCATTCCCTTTACCTTTTCCTTTGTGCTAAAGCTTTTTCCTTTTATGGTATTTCTATGGTAATACTATTGGATTTCTATGGAATTCCTATGGGATTTCCATGATGTTTCTATGATATTTCTGGAGGATTTCTATGGGATTTCTGAAGGGGTGCTATGGGAGTTCTATGGTATTCTTATGGGATTTCCATTGGATTCCTATGGGATTTCTATGATATTTCTATTGGATTCCTATGGAATTTCTATTGGATTCCTGTGGGATTTCCAAGGTATTTCCATGATGTTTCTATGATATTTCTATGGGATTATTATTGGAATTCTCATGGGGTTTCTTTGTGGTTCCTATGCTATTCCATGTTATTTCTATGATCTTTCTATGGGATTTCTGTGGGATTCCTATGGGATTTCCATGGTATTTCTATGATATTTCTTTGGGACTACTATTGGATTTCTATGGGATGTCGATTGAAAGTAAATTGACAGCAAATTGAAATCAATTGAAAGTAAATTGAAATCAATTGAAATCAGTTCAAAGTAAATTCAAATCAATTGAAAGTAAATTGAAATCAATTGAAATCTATTGAAAGTAAATTGCAATCAATTCAAAGTAAATTGAAATCAATTCAAAGTAAATTGAAATCAATTGAAAGTAAATTCAAATCAATTCAAAGTAAATTGAAATCAATTCAAAGTAAATTGAAATCAATTCAAAGTAAATTGAAATCAATTCAAAGTAAATTGAAATCAATGAAATCAATTGAACATAAATTGAAATCAATTGAAAGTAAATTGAAATCGATTGAAATAAAATTGAAACCAATTCAAAGTAAATTGAATTCAATTCAAAGTAAATTAAAATCAATTGAAAGTAAATTGAAATCAATTGAAAATAAATTGAAATCATTTTAAAGTAAATTGAAATAAATTGAAAATAAATTAAAATCAATTCAAAGTAAATTGAAATCAATTGAAAGTAAATTGAAATCAATTTAAATCTATCATTTTTTTTAAATTCCACCGTATTTTGTACCCGGTACCTGGGTTTTTTCCACACTATTCTGTATCGCAGATTTGTTTGGGGGGGAGGGGGGGGGGGCCTCCCCCACATTAATGCGTTACCCTACATTATTTATCTTGGAAATCAGACCAAATTGGATTCAAAGGCAATCATTTGAAGAGAATCAACAGAAAATAGATGAAACTAGAGATGAAAGATAGGGATGAAGCCACACTTGTCCTGAACGGTGGCTGCTCTAAGGACTGAAACCCGCCCAAGCAGGAAAGGCTCCTTTTAAGCGTTTTTGCTGTTGACCTCAGCCGGAGCCCCAAACCAATTCTTGGTGCAGTCTTGACCAAATTCTTGAGACACAAAACTCAGCATTTGACGACAAACCCAGTGCTTGTCCTGACTGATTATGGCTGCTGATTGCCTCGAAGGCAAGGGCTCATTGGACCCACCAAGTAGAACACATTTCGACTGTAGTTGCTGCTGGCGTCAGCCGGGGCCTGAAACAGGTTCTGTCGTGGTACAGTTTGCTCAACAACAGGATTAACTTCACAGAGGGCTGAAGGGTTGCTGCCTTCACTATCCTTCAATTACCTTGCCAAATCTCTTTTCGATCGCGTTTAGGTCTCACAATGGGCTGCCGCATTAGTCGTAGAAGAACTGCCCAGGCGGGGAGAATTCCATTCAGCTCCGGGATAAGGGGTTTGGCTCAACTTACATGGCACGGCATGTCTTTTTTCACGCGCGTCAGATCTTGAAGCCTGCACAGCAAATCAGCACACCCGAAAAAGTGTCAACATATTTATGATATAAATGCTTGAAATATACACAGACATGAAAACTGATTGGTCATAGTTGTAGACATGTATGCATATTCAAGTTTCCAACACGTTCACTGGCGGTCGATTGTTTCCAGGACATGTTGCTGCCGCTAACAGCGAGCAACTTGGATGGCCCTA